GACTACAGGCACCCGCCACAACGCCTGGCCATTTTTTTTGGTTGCAGCCATCATTGTTGTTTGGCGGGCCCGGGCTGGGGATTCAAACCTGCCACCTTAGGTGTATGTGGCTGGCGCCTTAGCTGCTTGAGCCACAGGCGCCGAGCCCAAAATATTGATTCTTAAACAAAGGGTATTAGAGATCCTTGGCAGCCACAGCCCAAACCTGGGTCAGGGTTGGCCGCTGTGAAGGACGGTCAGGCCTGAGAGTACTCTCCCCTAGGCACCTTATATATCTTGAGAACCAAGCCCAACATCAGTGCTATGGTCCAAACTCTCTCCTCAAAGGCACTGGGCCATCTCTGGCAGCTCCCCTCCAACCAGACTGAGAGCCCCTGGGCCTACTAGAGCCCTTTGGAATGAATGACTCTCCAAGATCCCCTTGGATCCTTGCCTTCCAGCTTCCTCCAGCAACCCAGCCAGGTTACATGGGAAGTCTCTCAGGGCTGAGAACCTGGGCTGGAACATGCCCTGAGATAGGGGAAAGGGAGTGAAGAGGAGGTGGGTTTTAGCCTACATCTGAATGCATATTTGAGGGTGCGGTGCTGGGGGAGGTCACTCCAGCTAAGGGATTCTGTGGTTCCCAATTAGTTAATTTGATTACCCGCTCCTGAGGAGTCTGCACAAGGGCTGAAAGATGCAGTGAGACATAAGTTTATTGGTGGAGTTGCAGAGGAGTCCTCCCTCTCTCTGGGATAGCCGAGGGTACAGCACCAACAGAGGGATGGACAGACAGACCTTCAAACAGACACATGGATGGAGCAGACTCAGAGAGACCATAGCACAGCCACACAGGCACAGAGACACACAGGCCACAGCACCAAGAACACACACACAGAGACAACACCACAGGGCCAAGACACACAGACAAAGTGCGGGCATTGGGGCCTCTGCATAGACAGAGCAAGAGCCAAGTGGGAAGGGGACCCCTGCTGACCTCCCCCAGGCATAGGCACACGACAGCACACAGACAGGCAGATGCCCCCAGCCAGCAGCCAGCCTGCCACACAAATGAATGGACTGCACGGAAAGGGGCTCACAGCTCCTCAGACCGTGGGGAGCAGAGACCACAGGCTTTCACATACACACACCCACCACCCTCACCCACCCACTGCACTGAGGTCTGGGAGTCCCTGCCCCTGAGCTGGTCACATCTGTTCAGCCTGATTTCCACCACACTCCCTGCCACACTTTGGTCTTGCCCACTGGGGCGGGGGCTGGGGAGTGTGGCAAGTGGAAAGAGGAGGCGAGGAAGGGGTATGGACCCAGCACTGTCACTTCTCCATGATCAGTGAAGCAGGTACTCAGAGTCCAGGGCTGATCCTGGGCCTGGCAGTGGGGTGAAGGCAGGGCTATGACTCAGGCTTGAGGGGGCTCCCGGCAGTGTAGGCACTGGGCCATCTCTGGCTGGTACTGCTCAACCTGCAGGGTGCAGCTGGAGAATCCAAACCGGGAGTAGAGCCGGGATGAGGCTTCAGCCAGGACGGCTTCAGGGTCAGCAGTGGAGTCTGTGGGAGAGTGATAAGAAGCAGCATCAGTCCCTAGGGAGTCAGGAACAGGCAGGGGCTGAGATAAGAATGCATGAAGGGGCTGAGGGCTGCACAGCATTAAAGCCATGGGTAAATGGGGAGCTTGCTTTTCTTTCTCTACTGTATGAATAGTCAAAGAAAACGTTGGAGAGATTCACCCCCCTTAATCGACCATGCTAACACACTAAACTGTTCCTAGTCTTCTTTTCTCTCCTGTCTTTGAGTATCAATATTTCAGCAGCCATATCACTCGATTTCCAGGACAATCCAGATGTTAAATATTCTGTCCCATTGTCCCTCTAGAGTTACCATCAAATATCCCACAAAGTATAATATTTTTGGCATCCAAATTGCATGTCTCTGATTGCTTCTTGCATCTGGAAGAAACTCAAAAATCCTTTGTCAGCTCATGAGTCACCATATATATTTTTAATAGTTGAATCATAATGTAGATGTAATTTTATATTCAGCTTTTTTCTCTCAGCATTATGCCATAAACATTTTTCCTAGTTGCCATACATTCTTCATAATCATCATATTTAATAGTTATGTGATATCCCAGAGTGGAGGTGCCATAATTTATCTAACTGTGCTCCTGTCACTAGACCTGTAGGTACTAGTAATCTTTTAAAGGGTTGCTGGTTCCCTGTGTTATTTTGGAGAGGGTGAAACTCTTCCCAGAATACCATGCCCAGAGTTCCTTGTCTCTAATATGTAACATACCCGCACCTGTGTGTATGTGTGTGTGAGAGAGAGAGAAAGTGAGAGAGCCAGAGATAAAAACAGAGACAGACAAAGATCAAGAAAGACTGAAACGGCTCGGTGCCTGTAGCACAGTGGTTACAGTGCCAGCCATATACACCAAGGGTGGCAGGTTCAACCCTGGTCTGGGCCAGTTAAACAATAATGACAACAGCAACAAAAAATAGTCGGGCGTTGTGGCAGGCACCTGTAATCCCAGCTACTTGGGAGGCTGAGGCAAGAGAATCGCTTAAGCCCAAGTTTGAGGTTGCTATGAGCTGTGATGCCATGGCACTCTACCCAGGGTGACATAGTGAGACTCTGTCTCAAAAAAAAAAAAAAAAGAAAAGAAAAGAAAAGAAAGAAAGAAAGAAAGACTGAAACAATACGGTAATTCAAGCCACTATCCCTGATGGGGGTAGAGAGTACATATGCAGGAAGTAAATGGCCGGGGCCAGTGCAGACTCACCAATGGCCAGGTGTGCAGAGGCAACATGGTAAGTGAGCGTGAGGGCCCAAAGGTGCAGTTCATGGGTTGCCCGAACTCCTGGCACTGACAGCAATGTATCACGCACAGGTTCAAATCCCACATTGCGGGGGGTACCTGCAATGAGCACCCCAGCTATGTGTTACTATCAGGGATGCTTCCAGCAGGGGCAGCCCCCTAGCTTCCACCTCCCCAATACTATGCCCACTCACCCTGTTAACCCCCACGATTCATCCTATGCTCAAATCCTCCCATCTGGGCATACTCCCCACTCTCTTCAGAAAAGAGAGGTGGCCCAGTGCTCTTCAAGGTCAGAGAGGGCCCCAGGGTCAGGGGCAGTAGTGTCTGATTCACCTTCCATGAGGATTCGAAGAACGTCCCGGAGGGTCGGCGCTGTGGATCCAAGGGCACAGATGGAGAAGAGGAAGGTGCTAATGGGGTCAGCCGCCTTGTACTGAGGCTATAGAGAAAGAGACTCCTGAGCCCAGCAACCAGGGACCTTTCATAGAAAGATCTAGGGACATCCTGATAAATAGGACCTGAGAGGCCCCTGAGGTCCCTGCAGAGGGGAAAGGGAACATGATGCAAGGCTGGGAGAGTCCAGGGGATCTGGGAAATAGGAACTGGAGGGAAGGAGAGGAGGAGGCTGAGGGTCCTGGGAAGGAGGGGACTGGGGTGTGGAGTTGGAAGAAGAAAGCTGAGGTAGGCCAGTATTGACTAGTACCTTGAAGTAGATGAGGATGGAGGCAGCCAACACCCCAAGGCTCTGCAGGAGGTCCCCTAGCACGTGTACAAAGGCTGCTCGGACACTGGTGTTCCCCAGGGGCAAGGGCTCCCCAGGCCCCTCCTCTAGCGGTGCATACTCTGCCCCTGTAGACCCGTGGCTGTGGGGGGGGCCGGCCTGATGCAGCACAAAGGCCATTCTGAGGGGGAAGCAGAGCAGCTCAGGCCAGGCAGCCTACCCCAGGCCTCCTCTGCCACTATGTCCATGCCTCCTCCTCCCATCTCCCCAGTAGCCCTTTCTCCACCTACATTCCTAGCCTCAGGAAATAAACAGCATTGTCAGAGAGAGAAAGGGAATGAAGGCTGAGGGAGAGAAAACTGGACTTGGTGCCAGAGATGTGAATTCAGATCCTGGCCTTGCTATCTAAATAGCTATGTAGCTTGGGCAAGTCACATCTGGTCACTTGTCGGGATCCATTTCATTAACATTAAACTAGGAGTACTAGTACCTATTTCAGGGATGGCTGTGAGTTTTAAATAAGACAATATTGATAAAAGTCCCCATCAGAATGGCTAGTACACAGTAGGCCCTTAACAAATGTCTGTTGACTCTAAAGTTTAGGCTTTATCCTAGGCCCTTCCCAGGCATGCTCTGGGCAGACAGTTGAAAACTGTGTCTGCACATTTGTGTCTTATGGGGAGGGGAGAGCAGCTCTCCCATCCTGGAGGAAGACCCCTACTTTGAGCCCTACATGGTGCCTGCTCCACACTGGAACGTACAGCAGATTGGCACAGACTGCGATGCTGGCGGTCAGCAGCATGGCACCCCCCTCGATGTGGTAGTCACTGTGCAGCAGGCGGATGAAGGCCAGGTACAGGAGGATGCCAGTGACCATCCAGAGGGAGACCACAGACGCCAGAGCCCCCAGAGTCTCTGCAGGGGGAGACAAGCCGTCAGAGACCTGCTGGGGACCCTGTGAGATGCCATCTGGCAAGACTGGAGGGCCACTGGTCATGCAGGGGCCTTACCTGAGCGGTGCCAGCCAAAGGTCATGGTGCGGGTGGCTGGACGTGTAGAGAGCCAAAGGGAAAAGAGGCTGCCCATCATGCTGCCCACGTCTGCCAGCAAGTGGGCTGCATCGGTCATAATAGCCAGGCTGTGTGCCAAATACCCGCCTGCCAGGGCAAAATGATGTACAGTGCAGGTTCCGTTTAGAAAATATCAGGTAGTGTGAGCATATGGGCATGGAAAATAAATTGGGGGATATACACCAAAATGTGAATTGGGGTTGTCTTGGATGATAGGATTACAGGTTTTCTAGTTTTTCTACAATGCCATTTTCTTTTCTTTTCTTTTTCTGAGATAGGGTCTTGCTATTTTACCCAGGCTGAAACTTCTGGTTTCTTCCTAACTCAGCCTCCCGAGCAGCTGGGATTACAGTCATGCATCATCAAGTCCAGCTTACAATGATATATATATATATATATATATATATATATTTAATAACAAGAAAATAAGGTTTTTTATTGCTCCGTTAACGCCTAGAAGTCAGCCTGTGGGCCCTGGACCTCAGCCCAAATTCTCCTTGGTGCTTTGTCCCTCACCCATGCCCACTTCCTGAGTCCTGGGCACCAGCTCCCCACTATCCCAGCCATCCCCATCTTCTCTGCATTTCCACCCTGGAACATCCCTGGGACTCTGAGTGGAGAGTGGCCTAGGCAGTATCAGGGGGATGGTCTCCAACTTACCAACCACCTCCCCGGCCATGAAGACGAAGCACACAGCACAGGCGGCATACAGCTGCCTCCGCGCCTGCAGCCTCTCAGGGGTAAGGCCCTGCTGTGGCAGAGGGTCCCTGTGGCAGTGGTGGGAAGGCATTGCCACAGGTTTGGACTCCTCGGGGAGGGGCTCTGGGGCCTCTGTGAAGAGACTGAGGCAAGCAACACAGTTCAGCCTGACCCTGGCCCACAGGCTGGCCTGCTCACCCTAGGTCCTCTATGGCCCAGGCTGGCCTCGTCAGACATGGCCCATCTCTCGCTCCATCTCAAGGCCTGGTCATACCCAGGAAGGAGCCTTATGGATAGAGGGCCATGTGAGAAATGGAGGCCAAATGAACAGTTCAGACCCCAGGCTCCCTCCCCCTTCCATACACAGAGCCATAGGATTTCACAGCTAGAAAGCACCTTACAAACAATCTAGTCTAATATTTATTAAATCAGTTAGAAATACAAGGTTCAGCAAGGGAAAGGATATATGGAGGCCAAACAGCCCCCAACCAAATCAATGTATTATGCTGGTTACTATGAGGAATACAAAATGAGCAGGACAGCCTTTCCAACTCCAGGAGCCCCAGATGAACAAGACAAATGTGTATTGTGATGCAGAGCACAAGGCGGCATTGCCATTAGAGCAGTTGAGGTGCTACTGGGGCTTTGAGGGTAGAGGGATGAACAGTTTAATCCTAAAGAGGAAATCAAGGAAACAACTAGAGGAGAAAGGTCTTAAAGAACAGGAAGGATTTTGATGAAAATGAAGTAACATTCAAGGCAAAGGGCAGTACGATTAGAGGCTGGTATGAGTGTTGAGCTGGACTCAGCACGTGATCCTAGCCTCAGTGTGCCTCCCTCCTATGCTCCTACTCCCAGATCCTGCCCCTCCTTCTCTAAACAGACAGCCGAAATATGGCCCTTTAAGAAGGGAGTGGAATGTTGGGATGCAAAAAGTCTGAGATTCCAGGCACAGAGAGCTGAGGGCTAGATTCCAGAGCTGAGGTTGTCATGGAGAGGTAGGGGTACAGCCTGCTAAGGCTAGGGATGGTAGAGGTAGGGGTACTGAATTTGGAGTCAGCCACACATTAAATGGACCTCAGTCTGATCCAAGGCACCCAGCAGAAGCCACCCTAACTGCATAGTGCCATAAGCCTCCCCTGACAAATGAATGGGGCTGGGGGCCTCACCCGGAGAGCTCAGGCTGAATTGAGTTTTAGGTCCATTCTGGGCCATTTCTCACTCCCACTACTAGCCAACCTGAACCCCACCAAGGACAGATCTTCCAAAGAATAAAGGACATAAAAAGAAAATACAGTACTAGAAATACTCATAGAGGTGTGACAAGAATACCCATGAGTGAAAACAATGGCTCCAGATAGAAGCATGAACACAGCAGCAGAGTGGGGAGGGATGTCTGGGGCCTTCTGGCGAAGAAAGCTCTGCCAAGTGGGTGAATTGAGGTTTGAGGGAGATTGTGGGGGATATTTGGTGCATGTAGGGAAAATTCAAGTGCTTGTAGATAGATTAATTTCTTGAATTTCAAAAGCCCCATCCAAGATTAAGAATCGGGTATGTGTGGTTCTGGGTGTGTTTCCAGAGGAGATGGGGAGATAAGTAGCTTTTGAACCCATCCTCTCACTCATTCAATGAGGTGTGCCAGGCAGTGTACATATAACGAAGCCCAGCCTAGTGGGAGAGGCAGATGTGAAACAAATGACTTACTACGCAAGGACAGGCTGGTGTTGGAAAGGTTCCAAACAAAAGACGTTGGGGCACAGGGGAGTGAGCACCCACTCACAGAGGGTAAGGAGAACTTCACAGAGGACAACATGTTTAAGGAGATGAGACCTAGGTGGAGAATAGTGCACCAGACATGGGAAATGACAAGGAAGGACAAGGTTTGCAGCATGGAGTTTTAAATGTGAGGTACCAGGGAAAGGGGTGAGGAAGAAAGTGACGGGCTCAAAAGAACATACAGGGAAATACATTGATTGCTTGAAGAAATATTTCCTGAGCCCTGAGATGACCTTGTTGGTGGGAAGAAGAGAGGAAAGGAGAGGAGGGGAGGGGAAGGGAGAAGAGGTGATGAGGGAAGGTGAGGGAAGGTGAGATGAGATGAGATGAAGGGGTCTAAAACAGACCAGGCCAGAACCTCCCAGCACAGAGTTTTAGAGGAGTAGCAGGTAGGCTGGGAAGTGCCTCTTTTAGAAAATACTGCAGGATTTGGTGACTAATGGTCATATGAGAATGAAGATGGGCTAGGAGTAGAAGATGCGGGCCTAAAGAGCAAACCATGGCTGGAGTAGTGGGCAAAATGCTTCCCCTGGCCCTGAAGCATAGCACGCCAGTCACCAAGGTAGCCACCCATCAACAGGCTGCTTGCTGCCTTTTGTTCTGCATAAATTGGGCACTGAAGAAGCCTCATTGTTGGTGTGTGGGGGTGTGTGTATGTGGGGTGACTACATTCTGCTTAGAGAGGAGGAAAGGCTGGTTCCTCTCCCAGGCCCTCTGAAACCCCCAACAAAAAACAAATATTGAATGGGGAAGAGGGGTGACATAGCCAGGAGAAAAGAGGCTGAAGCAAAATCAAAGGAGATGTGAAGAGATGCCAGGGTCACGGCTGGAGCCCCCACGGCTGCCGGGTCTGCAGTCCCCTGCAGGAAGGGGTCACTACTCCCTTCTGCTCACCCACTTCCCCACCCACCCAGGTTTAAGGCCCTACCTACGAAAGGGCGAGAAACACACGGAAGCACCACATCAGAGACAAAGGGGAGAGGGCTGGAAGAGATACAGAAAGATTGGGAGGCATGGGGGAAGAGAAAAAGCCAGAGACCCTGCTAAATTCTGGAGACAAACGGACGGTCAGCCAACAGACAAAATGGCCAGCGCTCCGAGGGGCAGGGCGCAGGAGGCCGGCGGGGCGCGGAGGCGGTTCTCCGGCCGCCCCCGGCCCGCTGTCCCGGCCGTTCAGCGAGCCTTATTTCACACCTCACCACCCCCGGCCCCGTCTGTGCGGAGCCGGGAATACCCCCGCCGCCCAGATCGCACCTGCTCCTTCCTTGCCGCCCCCTCGTTTCCCGGCCCCCTTAGCTTCCTGGCGGCTGCCCGCCCTCCAGGGGCCTGGAAAACCCTCTGCTAAGCCCAGGCCCATGTTCCGGCCAGGTGCCCGCAGCTGGCCGTGGCTGGAAGGGGTACCCTGAGCCCGGATGCGCGGAGGGAAAGGACCCAGGGCCTGCAGATGGGGCTCCGAAGCTGGGGCGACAAGGTGTTCCTCCTGGGCTCCGAGCAATGCGGATATCTGGGGGTGGGGGCCCAGAGCGGCCGCGGCCCGACGGAGCGACACTCCCGGGAAGTCAGACGCGGTGGGGGCGGGGGAGGGGTCTGGAGGGATGGGACGCCGGGAACCGCTTCGCTGGACCCGGAGAAAATAAGGTTGCCGGAGGGTTGTGGGGGGCGTAGCAGGATGTAGAGGGGCTGGGGTCGGGGCTGGCGGGGCGGGCTAGCTGGGGTCAGGGAGCTCTGTGTGGCCTGAGGGGATGAAGTCGGGCGCGACAGAGACAGTCGTAGCGGAGCCGAGGGAAACAACGAAATGGACAGAGGGTAGGAATGTGGCACCCTCGGGCCGAGCGTCAGCCAAGGTCTGTCCTACCTCTTCAAACGCAAGCTGCCGCCAGTGCTGCCGCGGTCCCGGGAGCTCACCAGACGAGTGGTCTCCGAGCCCCCAGGGGCGGGAGAGGGCTCCATGTCCCCGCTGCCCCGACCGTCTAGGCCTGGCCGAGGGAGGGACAGGCGGGGCCGGCCCTGCACCAAGTCTTAGTGGCCCGCCGACCCCCGGACTCCCTGCAGGGACACGGGACCACCAGAGTGGAGGGAACTGCAGCGACTGTGGCGCGTGGAGTCCGAACTGCAGATCCCGCGGCTGCTGGAGCCCCGCCCCGCGTGGGGCGAGCTCCCCAAGCCCCGCCTCCAGGCTCCCCGGCCTCTCTCCCACACCTAAGCCCCGCCCCTACCCCCATAGCCAAAGCCCCATTTCCCGACGCCAGAGCCTGGTGGGGGAAGCGGGAGCGCCCAGCCACCGGGGTTCCAGAGAATCCCTCGTCTCCATAGCCCCGCCCACTAGGTGAAATAGCCCCGCCCCCAACCAAGTCCCACTCACGGCTCCAGGCCCCAGGACCTACAGACCAAACTTCTCCCAAGGTACGTCATCTTTTGGTCGCCTATGCCGGGGCATCGCCTGCCACCCGCTACCTCTGCCCCCAGCCCCCTGAGGAGGCAAAAACAGGTGCGGACCCATTACCTGTCTCTAGAGAACCAGAAAGAATGTGTGGTGAGCAGTGATATGTCCGGGAGAACTCCAGGGACTCCAGCCAGAAACTCTTCTGTGAAGGATCTGGGGTCGGAATTCTCGAGCAAAATCTGCTGCCAAGCACTGTACTGCTAATGATCATTTATTTTTATACAGAAACATTGGGTAACAAAAAGCTTCCTGCTTTTCTTCAACTTATTATTATCCCTGTTTTTTTGATAAGTAAACTGAGTCCCAAAGGAAGAAGTGTGCAGGGCGTGAACAAAGGGCTCGGTCTGGAACCCCATCCTCTTTCCGTCACGGAGTCAGGACGCCACACTAACGATTGAAGAGAGTGTAGGTCACGGTGCTCTCACAGGCGGGGGCACCCAGTGGAGTCCGTGCCATCTCTCTGGGGTCACAAGCCACTCTTTAAGGAGGGAGTCTGAGGCTCAGCTTGTTAGCTAGTGATGCCTAACTTCCATACCTGTAGCACCTTCCCGGGCATTGCCTCATTTTGCCTCATTTTGAGGACTCTAAAACCCAGGGAAAGGAAAGACTTATAGAAAGTCGGTGGTTGAGCCTGAGTCGAAGCTTCAACAGCTCCATATACTGGAGCCCCTGGCACCTGCCGCCACTGTAGAATGAAAAGGGGGTGGGAACTAGATTGTGCACTCTAAGCTATGACAGTCTGTGAAGAGGAGGGTCCGTAGGAGGAGGGGAGAGAGTAAGCAGGGATGGGGAAGCATGGAGGGTGGGAGTGGTTATTGAGCCCAGGCTAGAAACCCATCAACCGTATCCTTCAGAACATACTGGGCGTGCTGAACAGAGGGTTCTGGAGCTACACACCAGCCCTCGACATTGTTATTCCAAACAATGAGATCGCGTGTGCACTTACAAAACAAAACAAAAAAATAAAGCTGGTACGCATGCCAGATAGAATGATTGGAAGAGATGGAGTTAACCGGGAGAGCTTCGCGGAGGAGGTGAGGCTTAAATGGATTAGGCAAGCTGGGCGGCGGGCTGGCAAGGGAGGCTCGTGCCAAGGTTTGCGGGCGGCGTGTGCACAGACATCGTACTGCGCGGTGCAGGAGTATTCAAGGGTCTGCTTTCGCCCGCTGCGCTGCGCCTCCACCCACACCACACTCCTGGCTGCCGCCAGCCTTTCCTTGGTGCCTGCCCACCCCCGGCCGGAGGCCCGGTCCAAAGACCAAGCCGGCAAGGGGGAGACTGGGTGACGGAGCGAAGGGAGGCTTTCACCCTCCAACCTTCCCTAGAGGCGCAGAACTAGAAGGACCTCAGCTCCTTTTTCAGGTCACAGGGGGGCAAAGTGAGACGGCGAGAGGGGAAGCCACCGGCCAAGGTCACCTCCTTGGCCCGGGTCAGAGCCAGGGTGGAACACACGTCCCTGCCCGGCTACACCTGGACCCCCGAAAACTTCCTGCCCTGGTGCCGTCGGTTTTCTAAGTTCCTCACCCGTCTTAGGGCTTTCCCCAATTCTGAGAACCCTGGAACTGGGGTGCGGAGGGGTCACCGCGCACTCCAAGGCTCAGATGCATCAGTCTGGACTGAAGCGGCTGGGGTGGGTGAGCTGGAGAACAGGGAGAAACCACGGTGCCCTATGCGGGGAACGGGCTTCTTGGCAGGCTCAGTGGATGACGACAACAGGAGACATAACAACAATGGCTTCCTCCGGGATTTCCCTTCCTGGGCAGCCCGCACCGACAGCAGTCCTGAGTGCCCAGGAGGGGGCGCAGCCGCTGGCACGTGCCTAACTCGCCGCCCGGCGGAAGCCAGCAGGTGGAGAAGGGAAAGAAAGGCAGTTGGAGCTGACCCCAGAGGAACGTGCCGCCTCCAGAAGCCGAGGCCCTGGCAGTGGGAATACCAATCTTCAATTGGAAATTTGTGTAAAAGAAAGCTTGGCAGCGAAACAGGATGCTTGCACCTGTTCCTCAAAGAGCCATCAGGTGGCCTTATGAAGATCTTAGCAAAGGATCCTGGAGAATGCCAGGCTGGAAGTCATGCTGCACCTGGGTGGGAGCTAGGAAAATTACTCAGGAGTTGGAAGGTCAGCTAGTGGCCTGTATGGAACTCATAGCCTTATAAGAACGATTCATTCAGCATTTACTCAGCATTTATTCCCTGCCATGCAGCCTGCCAGTCTACCTGGGAATTGGTGAACAAGATAGACATGTTTCCTTCCCTCTTGGCTTTAACTTTACTGCAACAGATTTCTGTTCTGCAGTCCTTTCCTACCGATTAATCCACATGCTGTTACTGCCTGTCTGGTTCCGCCTCAGGTCTCAATCTCCAAGGTGAGTCATTAAGTTGCTCTTAGCCTCACAGGCATGACTGAGGCAGAAAGCACTGGATATCCCAGGAGAATAGGTCAGTGCCAGCTTCCAGAGGGCCTCTGGCAGAACAGGCCAGAAGAGCTCTGCAGAGGGACTCAGGCTAAAAGTCTATAATGGGAAAGAAGAGCAACGTCCAGCAGAGATCAGAGTTTAAACTGGGCTAGGGGCCAGGTGCAGTGGCTCACACCTGTAATCCTCACTCTCTGGGAGCCCAATGCTGGTGGATCACTTGAGCTGAGGGGTTTGAAACCAGCCTGAGTAAGAACTAAAAATAGAAAAACTATCAGGATCTCATAACAGAGGTCTGTAGTCCCAGCTACTTGGGTGGCTGAGGCAAGAGGATTGCTTAAGCCCAAGAGTTTGAGGTTGCTGTAAGCTCTGATGCCATGGCACTCTAGCCTGGGCCACAGAGTGAGACTCTGTCTTAAAATAAACAAACTGGGATAGAGATCTCAGGCAAGATTTGTAATCTAAGCATGTGTGCAAGAGTTAACTCTTGAGTGGTCCAAGCCAAGTTGAAGAGCATGGGCAGAGGCAACCTAAGGTCCATCTTCTACTCCATTCTCTGCTCACATGTCACCTCCAGAAAGCTTTGCCTGACTTCTCCCAGACTGGGTATGTGCCCTTCCTTGGTTCTCTCAAGGCTCACTGTGCTCATCTGATCAGAGGACTCACCTGATCAGAGGACTCACCACACTGTATTGAAATCCTTAGCTGCTCTGTCTCCTCACTAAGATGAAAGCTCCCTGAAGGCAGGAATTGTGTCTTTCTCATACTGTGGCTCTAGTGCCCCACAAGTGACTGGCACATAGTCCTCAATTAAGCCATCCCAGAAAGGAGGAGCTAGTTGTGAGAGTGGAAGCAGGATGGAGGAGGTAGGATGTTAGCTGGTGATAGAGAGGATGAGAGAGGAGGACTTCCCTGTCCCCCACACTAGGTTAGTTCTCATGTCACATGAGCTCATCATGTACTGTATTTTCTTTGTTAGCACTTATACTGCACTCAAACTGTTACTTGGGAATTATTTCTTTCTTCATTTGGCTCCCACTGTACCACAATCTAGTTTTCCTTCTGCTTCACTAACTTCTTATTTTCAATGCTCTTTGCTGATTCCTCCCCACCTCCTCAATCTCTTTGTGCTGGGTTAGCCCAGGACTGGTCACTTTTACTCTTACCTTTCCACAGTCACTCCCATGGACATATCATCCACTCTCCAGCCTTTAAATACTATCAAGTAACAATAGTAATGGTTGTTGAATGGATGTTTGATACATGGGGAATCATGGTACTACTCTCTTTATTTGTACAATGTTTGAAATTTTCTACTAAAAAGGATTTTTTTTAAATGGCATTTATATGGTGCTGACTCCCAGATATCTAACCTGGACTCAAAACTTAAGGACCCAAATGTCAGTTTAACATATTGTCTCTAGGGCGGCACCTGTGGCTCAGTGAATAGGGCACCAGCCCCATATACTAAGGGTGGCAGGTTCAAACCCGGCCCCCACCAAACTGCAACAAAAAATAGCCAGGCACTGTGGCATGCGCCTGTGGTCCCAGCTACTTGGGAGGCTAAGGCAAGAGAACTGCCTAACCCCAAGAGCTGGAGGTTGCTGTGAGCTGTGATGCCATGGCACTCTACCCAGGGGGACAGCTTGAGGCTCTGTCTCAAAAACAAACAAACAAACAAACAAACATATTGTCTCTAAAGTCTAATAGACAGGTATATCAAGCTCTGTAAGTCCAAAACTGAGCTCCTGATTGTCACCCCATCCCAAACCTCTTTCCGCAGTCCTCCCATATCAGAACATGGTGATTCTATCCTTCCATTTGCTCAGGCCAGGAACCTTAGGGTTATCCTGGACTCCTCTTCTTTCACCCCACATATAAACTGTTATTAAATCTTTTTTTTTTCTTTTGAGACAGAGACTCTCTCTGTCCCCTTAGAGTGCCATGGTGTCATAGCTTACAGCAACCTGAAACTCTTGGTCTCAAGTGATCCTCTTGCCTCAGCCTCCTGAGTAATTAGGATGACAGGAGCCCACCGCTATGCTCGGCTATTTTTTTAGTAGAGACAGGTTCTTGCTCTTGCTCAGGATGGTCTCAAACTCCTGAGCTCAAGTGATCCTCCGACCTCAGTCTCCCAAGTTATCATTAAATATTGGTGTAACCCTTGTCCAAACCACCATCACCTGCCTTCTCGATTATTGCAGTGGCCTCCTAGGTGGTCTCCCCATTTCCACCCT